CCCCCAAAAAAGCTACATGCATGCTAGTGACTAAAAAGTTCTGCCAGTTACAGTATTCCAGATGTAATGTGATGAGATTAGTAATTCAAGTCATCTGTCCACTTTAAAAAAAATGTTTCTTGTTGTGCCTTACCTACTCTAGACTTTGAATGATACAAGTTATTGGTATATCTTTTCATTCATCTTCTTTGAAATGACATCAGACCTAATCCTAAAATAAAAAGTGTTAGGAACGTAAGAGTCATACTTTGACCTTGAACATCTAGGATAATTTAATGTATTATTTTGTATGTGCTAACAGTTTTTGTATTCTAAAGGTTCAAAGACCCTAAATGGAGGATCTGATGCTCAAGACAGTAGTCATCCACAACATAATGGTGACAGCAATGAAGAAAGCAAAGACAGCCATGAGGCTGGCAGTAAGAAAAAGTAAGGGCAGTAAGAAAAGTAATGGGCCTTTTGAAATTAAGGCTGGAGAGATGAGACTCCAATGTTAAGAGCACCGCTGCTCTTCAGAGGACTTGGTTTGGCACCCATATATAAAGCAGCTCAGAACTGTCTTAACCCCAGTTCCAGATGATCCCTACCCTTCCTGGCCTTGTTGGCACCAGACACTCACATGGTACACAGACATGTTCAGGAAGAAAGCCCATACATAAAATAATAGAAAAAATTTCTTGAAGTGTCTTAAGTGTCTTGCTTTTTTTTTTGCTGAGTCGGGCTTCAAACTCCTGAGCTCTAAGAGATTCTCCTGCCTTGGCTTTCCCAGTTGTTGCGAACACAGAGTTGTACCATTGTGCTTGGCTTATACAGTTTTTTTGTTTTGATTTTGAGATAGGGCTTCTCTTTGTAGCTTTTGCTATCCTGGAACTCGTTCTGTAAACCAGACTGGCCTCGAGTTCAGATGCCTGCCTCTGCCTCCCAAGTGCTGGGATTAAAGGTGTATGCAACCCCAACCCCCCCCCCCCCCCATTAGTTCATGATTTTAGCACAGTAATTCTTCCTAAGGCTAAATATGCTGGGGAAATACTATCACTGAGCTCAATGATTAAAAAGAAAAAAAAATGATTTTTGTTTAACACTTCCTTTCCCTACACACCCCTTTTAGACAAGGTCTCACTGTGTACGTTGTGTTGCCTGGCTGTCATGGAAGTTGCTGTGTAGACTAGGCTAGTCTTGAACACAGAGAAGTCTGCCTCTAGAGTGCTTTGATGGTCCACTATATCAGTCTTACTAAGTTGTGAATCAAAACAGCAGGAGGGACTGAAGAAGTGGCTTAGTGGTTAAGAGAACTGGCTGTTCTTATAAAGGTCCCAAATTCAATTCCCGAAAGCAACCACATGGCTACTCACAACCATCTATAATGAAACCTGATGCCAGCTTCTGGTGTGCAGAGGAATATGCAGAAAGAGCACTACTCATTTATTTAAGGGAAAAGACAAGAGGAAGAAGGGTAGATGTTAAGGCAGGCTGAGTTCAGTCCCTAGCACCAGCAAATAGAATAGAAGGCTACATTGCGAGTCATCCCAACATCCCCAAAAGGTTTATTGAGACAGATCTCCCTACACTGTCCAGGTCAGCCTTGAACTTGTAGCCGTTACCCAGACACAGTCTGTTTGGGATGACAGGTTAATTACTGCCCCTATATTTACTCAGGAAAATGGACCTCAGTAGGAACTCTGAAAGAAAACAATTTTTCTTTGAACCTTGATATGTTAAGTAGGTACTTTGTCTAGTTCTTATTTTATGTTGTCATCACAGATACAAATTCTGTTTAAATAAAATTCATCTTAAATTTAGTGCCAGATCTAGGATGCCTCCTTGGGTTATCTCACCAGATCTGTGTATTACTTTAGCAACATATATGTTATGTGTTTGTGATTTTTTTTTTAAATTAGAATTAAAGCTCTTTTTACTCAAGAGAAAACCCCAATACTTGTGACAGCTTTCTTTTTTCCCTTTATTTTAGATCACCCGGAGAAGAGAGAGAGGCTGAACTATCTCTGAAGGAGTCACCACTAGATAACTAGATTGGCAGACGTGGGGTGTAATGAGTATGTGAAGTCTGTTGTGAGTGGCTTCATCTGAAATACTTAGGCTGCTGACTGAAAGGATTAAATTTTTTATAATTATAGATTTTGATGTTTAAGTAGTTTGGGGAAAGAAAAATCCCTTTATGTTTGTGTAAAAGTAAAACTTATTGCTAATTTTCCGTGTGCAGTATTAACAGCTCCATCATCCAGTTCAAGTGTGAGGGAAACCTACTTAGAAAGGTTGACCTGCTTTATAGACGTGACTAGTGTATTTCGGTTAGTGTGTGTGTGTGTGTGTGTGCGTGTGTGTGCGCGCACATGTAATTGGTAGTAGGCCAGTTACATTTTAAAACTGCTACTTGTATAAATCGTTCTTCTCCCAAATAATGTGGGTTTGTGCATAGTTTTTACAAATCTTGGATTTACCAGACTGTCTTTTCACTGTTTGTGGGTTTTTTAGAAGTTGAGCATTTTTATGGTTGATAAAATGAATGTTACTTCTAAGTACTCACTCCTTTTTATCAGAAGTTAATGTAACCTCAGTCTATTGTGCTGCATTAGCTTGCCTCTTCCTAATAATGTGTAGTCTGTGTGACACCCACATGTCCAACTAGAAGGTACAAATTTGATGACTTTTGAAAGTAATTTAGTTTCAGGGCTGCGAATTCAGTGGAGTCAGAATTAAAGAGAACAGATTGGGTATATAGAGGAACTTCATATACAATCCTTTATAGTTACTAATCACAAAAACCTAAAACTAGTTTGTTTTTAATCTCACACATTAAGAAGAAGGTCATGCTCACTGAGGTATGTGTGTGTTTTTAAATTGTAATCAGTCCATGATACTTATTAAGTGGTAAATAAATAAGAAAACTAATGGGATTTATATTTAGTTTCTGTATCATCAGGCATCACAAGATTACAAAAATAAAAGGTAGAAATAACAGTTGCTCCAAGACAGTAAGTAGATAATCCATACACACAAAGAGACCATCAGAGTCTGTTAAGGAATAACATTTCAAAGGTCTTCTGAGTAATCACGTCATCATTTGTTTCCAATTGGAAGAAAGGTTCATCACTATGTTTTGAAATTTTAATGGGAAAGTGACTTAATAGCAGTGTTTTTTGTGTTATGTTTATATATATGACCTTGACGTCTCATAATTATTTTCACTTATGTAAAGGACTTTGAATTATTCAGTAATTGAACTTTTGCTCTTATTGAACTACTGTTTGGGGCAAATGCTGTACATTATCTACACCACTCTTCTGTTTTGTCCTTAGTACATTTTTAGCTTGAATGAAAATTATTCTAGTTAAGCCATAAGTGTCAAATGTGTAAACTTGTTTTAATTAAAATTTTTTCTACCAAACTCTATTAGTAAATTATTATTACTGCTAGTTGAGAAGAACTACTGAAAGAATTCTAGATAACCTGCTAAGGAAGTAGTGTCGTCCTTAGCCCCCACTGAGGTCCTGTTAGGGGATAGAGGAGGTATGCAGTAGTAAGCTCAGGGAAGCACTGTCACTTGCCTCTGTGGACTTCCCGTTCTTCACGACAGTGTCCCACTCAGAGTGCTAGCAGCGTTCTTCTAGTCATTACCTTCTTAGGTAGGTGTCTGCTTGAAACCATGTGTGCTTTGGAACTGTCTGTCACAGGCAAGCTATCACTCTGAAAACTCTAAACAAAATTGCATTAAACCTACCACCTCTCCCAGTGTGCATAGTATGCATGTGTAATATGCATGTATGGATACCTATTTTGATGTTGTTTTTCCCAGTTGTTTGGATCAATTTTACATATTCCACCTTAATGAAAGATTCTGATTGCAAGTCCTGATGTACAAACAGTTCACCAGAGCTCATTAGACCATATATGCTATTCTAGCTAGAAATTCTATAGCATGGTGGATTTTTACCCAGACAGTGATGTGGCACACTAAAAATGTTCCTGTTTATATCCACTGACCTGATTAAAAAGTGCCAGGTGGGGATGCAGTCTGCCATTCACTCCTGTATGCAGAGCAAAGGCTTCAGCTAAAAACTTTATTCCATTCACTCCTTTATGCAGAGCAAAGGCTTCAGCTAAAAAACTTTATTCCATTGGTTAGAGAATAGACTACTATCTACTGCAAATAGCAAAATGTGCTTAAATTTGTGTTGTGTGATTCACCAACAGATATTAGTGATGAGTGCCCTGCTATAAAATTACAAGGTGTAATTATCCTTAAAAGAATTGTGAAGTATAAACAAGATGCTTGAGGAAACAGTTATTTTCTATACAGCAGTCTTGTGCAGGTATATCTATAGGGATTTTCACTGATAAGGTTGTGCCATTCACATTTACCTCTGCCCTTAAAGTGACACATGAAATTTAATTGTTATGTTGTATTTAAAAGATATACTGGCATAAAGAAAAACTGTTTGAAGTCAGGGGCTTTACACTTGTAACTATAAAGTTGAAATTCTTTTCATGTGAACTAGTTGGGATACCTAAATAATTGATAATTACAGTAACCTGGTGAGCCTTTCCTTATTTCTACCATCAAAGAAATGGAAGGTATGTGAACTGTGGGTAAAAAAAAGTAGAATAGCATTCTTAATAAATAAGGATTCCATATAATACTGTTTATCTGTTATCTGTCATCTTTGTCTATTAAAATGGGATAATTGGCATAATATATGTATTAGGGATAACTAACTTCCTGTAATTTACTTTGGGAGAGTATGAACAAGACCCACAAGAATTGCCATATTAATCTAGGAATTGAGTAAATCATTCATTCATTATTAGTGTATGATTGTGAAGTAGAATTCTCAGTGTACTTAACGTTAATATCACTCAATACAGGAAAGTAAGAAATTTGGGCACATTGTAAATTAGCCCTGGAGAGTAAATGACCTGTGTTGCTACAGCACTAAACAAGAATACTTTTAGACATACCACATACAGGCACTTGCCATCTCCGTGTCAGTTGCCATAATTGTATTTGTGCATTTAAGTCCATGAAACATGCTTCACAATCTTTAAACAGATGTGTAGGTCTCTGGTTTACTGATCTGTTCTTAGCCATCTGGAGAAGATTCAGTGAATTTAAGTTAAACCTAGGACAGAGAAAGTTAATAAAGTTAATTAAAGTTAAATGTCTATTTTATGATATTACAAAGTTCATTTTCTACCCCAAAAGTTTCCACAAATATTTTGATAGTTTGTTTAGCAGTTTTCTTTCTTCTGTATCTCGGAATGAGAAATGTCATTACAATTTTACAGCAAGGGGACAAAAAAGGGAGGCGCTAAGCTGGAAAACTTTCCCTACTGATTTTCACATGCTCATAATTATTATGAGGATTAAGTGAGCCATGGTAATGTAAAATCCGCTATTTTCTTTAGCCATGACAGTTTAAACATTTGTGATTTCAAGAAATGGGCTTCACTTTAAATAATACTATGGGCATAATTAAATCTTTTTAGATTCATTGTAGTCTAGTGTCTATCTTAAAAAATATCACAGGAGCCTAAAATGAAATTATAGCTACTCCTAATTTTCTGCTCTTAGTTTCTCTTTACTGCAGATACTTGAAGGGTCTTTACCTTGGAAGCTTCATAGTAGGAGGTGTAGCTCTCATGTCCTTCACAGATTTCTTTAAAGGACTACTAGACTTGATGTATTGTCAGCTGCATTCTACCATTAGCAAACCCATTCGGGTACAGAATGCATAGGAGTCAGACAAGAATCAAAAGCTGGTTTCCAACAATGTTTATATATTCAGAATACAAAAAAAGTATTTCTACATCTCAGTAACATAAACAACATAAGTAAAAAGCCACAAGAAAAAAAACCACTGTATAATAAGTATGAAATATATTAACTAAACTTTAGTATATAAAATATATATATGTGGTACTAATTAAAGGTTCCTGGGTCAACATAAGGATAAGCAAGGAATTCCCCTAGTTTGTTGCCTTCAGAATCATAATGGAGCATTCTGAAACAGACATCACAAAAGAAACATGGATCCTCTGGTGCAAAGGTGTCGTTGTTTGTCACCCATCTGTAGTTTAAAAAAAAAAGTATATGTTATATTATAGCTGGGATTTTTTTATGCTTCAATAGTCTATGACTTATGGCCTATAACAGCAGTTCTCAACAGAGATTACATATCATATATTTACATTATAATTCATAATAGTAGGAAAATTAGTTATGAAGTATCAACGAAAATAAATTTTATGGTTGGGGGTCACCACATCGTGAGAAACTATTAAAGGATCATAGTTTTAGGACGGTTGTGAACCAATGCTCTGTAGCAATGCATAAAAAACATTCTCACTACTGCTTCAACCAGCTATACCAACACAGTAGGGACATCCACCAGGAAATGCGGCAGAACTGTTTAAGATTGCCGCTTATGCAAACTATCAGCAGCACACACATTTACGAGAACTCCTGTCCTCACTTGTTTTCTAATAATCACCTTGGAAAATTAATAGATCTACATTTTACAGACCCCAGAAGACTTAAGTTATGTAATCCGGGCCGGCTTTCAGCTTTCAGAGTGCTGGGATTATAGGTATGTGCCCACATACACAGATATTTATTTTAAAACAAGGCAAACGTACAAATAGTATAGAGCATGACATTTCTACACGAAGTGACCATGTCTTCTAGTTACTCTACAGTGTATCAAATAATTGGAGATGATAGGTTACCTTACTTTGCCATCAAAATAGAGAAACTTGAATTTGCATATGATCCTTGCACAGGGGCCATAATGGTCTATATCATTCTTATTTTAACAAAAATTGTTTAGTTTGGGGATGTAAGGATTTTAATCTAGGTTGAAGATAAAAATATTACAATTTGGTCTATACACAGTATAGGGACAATGTTCACCTGAGATTATTTCATGCTGTGTCACTCATCACATGAAATTTCTGTTTTTAAGTTTCTCTTAAATTTATCATTTTAGTTTAATTTTTTTTCTGATGTTCTGAAAAATTTAAACTAACCCTTGGATTTTCATTTTGGTAACTGATTTCTATTTTCCTAGTGATCCTTTAGAAAAAATACTTTGATAGGGAATCCAAAGCAAATGAAGATACTAAATTTTCAACTATTTCCCTAAATAGGCCAAAATTTTTGGCTCTGATTAACAGTACGAATCATCTCATAGTTGACTTATATCTATAATCCCAGTACTCAAGAGACTAAGGCAGGAATATAAGAAATTCAAGGTCAAGTCCTTAATTTACACCATTGGTTTGAGGATAGTCAGCTCAGGCTGTGTGAGGCCTTGTCTTTACAACAAAACCAGAAACTAATCCCCACAGTGTAAACATGCTGGCCGCACTCAAGACTAGAGAGAGCTCTTCACGCTGTGTCACATTCCACCTTTTCTTTTCTATTCTGTGAGGAGGTGAGGTCTTGTTAAATGCCCAGGCTGGCATTAAACTCAATCTCCCTGCCTCAGCCTCCTGAGGTTTGTCCCACATCAATTGTTCAGAACATAAAACCTGAGTTGAATCGTAAACGACAGTCAAGAAGCAAAGAAAGCATGGCTCCTTGATGTTTGCTCTGAACTTCATGTATGCGTTCCCTCATTTTCAAACGATATGGGGTGTAGCCTAGTGGTGTACACACGCTGATTAACAGGTAGCAGGCTCTGGGTTTCATCTTCCGAACAAAACAAACAAAAATCTCATTTTCACCAAACTGCATCAACACTGGAATACTGACTCTAGTAGATTAAAACTTTGAAACCCAAACTGAAAGCAGATATCTGAAGTACTAAAAGTGAAACCCAGTACTTTTTAAAGGAAAGAAAGCTGTCACTCACCTAGCTGTATACATCTTGCAAACAAAACATTTTCTGGTCCACAGCCAATGCTTCTTGGTAAGAAGGGGATAAAGTGTTCTATCCAAGCAGTCATCGTGATGCGCAAGCCTTTCACGAGGAAAGTAAATTATGTGAAACACAAATGCTATACCTGCTCCCCAACATTAGGAACATGGTTTGACCTTCTATATTTTGTAAACTGATTTCTTGGATTAAACAGCTTGTAACCTAATCTCATTACTGGGGATGTAACTTAGTTCTAGGTCTTGTCCAGCTTACTATAGGGCAAGACTATAGCCACCTGTACTGAACACTTTGCCCAACATGCTTTCCAGAAATCGATTTCTCAATTCCCTTTATGATAACATGCTGTGACAGTCTGCATGTAATATTTTTTTATGTATTTCATAATAATCTAACACCACACTGTTATTTGCGGAACACAATATAAGCAAGGCTGCCCAGTGATACCTTGCTTAGATTAACTGGCTCTTACTACATGACTTTCTCATTATAAAAAATAAAAGATTTGGATCCTTGAATGACATGAATTATAATTTTAATGTTAAATGTCAGAACTACAAAATTTAAGTGCCACTAACCAGCAGCATGGTGCTGGGTAAGTCATAAACCCTAAAGATTTATTAGTTGTAAAATTTACAAACTAGGTTTAATCTCAGCTCTGCTGGGTTCCTGACATGGATGGTTGTGGTCGTCTTGTGAGTGCTGGAAGAGCAGCCTGTGCTCTTGACCACTGAGCAATCTTTTCAATCCCAAGGAGCAGGAGTTTAATGCTTAGCTTATACAGCAAGTGTGAGGCCAGCCTGGGCTAAGTGGAACAAAACAAAATGTATTTGTACATAAATAAAAGATCTTTCAAAGGTTAGCAAAGAGTTATACTGTAACTATTTAATAGGTTTTAAAGGTCATATAAATATGAAATTATGAGATCTTACTTTTACATCCTTCCTCCCCAGGGAACTAGTTTTCTGGGTTTTTTTTTTGTGTCTGAGGTAGGTGTATATGGTACTTGTGTGCATGTAGGTACCTGAAAAGGACATGAGATACTCTGCACCACCACTCTCTGCCTTACTGCTGTGAGACAGGGCCCCTCGGTAGAGCTAGGCTGGCAGGCAGGCAGGCAGCCCCAGTGATCTTCTGTCATTGCCCGCCACAGCACTAGAGTTACAGGTGTAAAAGGCCATTCCTGGCTTTTCATATTTGAACTGGTCTTATCAATCAAGCCATTTCTTCAGCACCTCAATTCTAAACTATTCATTTTTTTGGAATTTACTCACCTTCCCACTATAGAATCACTATTTCAATTAAATTTAGATACTTAAAAAATATGGAATTTTAATCCTCCAATAAATACTTTTTAAAATAGGTTTTCTAATACATACTTTTGATTTATAGACAGTTTCTTTTTATTAAATAGCTCTGGCTGACCTGGAATTCACAGAAATCTGTTTGCCTCTGCCTCCCAAGTACTGGGGTAATAGGCCACATCTACTATAGATTTTCAGAAAAATTAACAGGGTGTGCAAGCTTCCCACTGCATGGAAAGCAGATGCTTACTGCTCCCAGGCTAAGCCACAGGGACAACTCTTTAATTCGCTGAATTTCTCTTAAAGCTACTTAAACTTTTGTAAGGAGACAGAACGTAGTTAATGAGCCATCTCAGTGGGTAAACATGCTTGCTTCTGAGCTTGATGACTTCAGTCCAATCCCCAGGGCCCCACGCACGTGGTAGAAGGACAGCAGACTTCCTGCTAGTTGTCTTGACCTTCACACTCTTCTGAATAGCATGTGTCCTCCTCCCCACCCCCAATTAATGGCACTTTTTAAGATAAAATATTCTCCAAGTGATGCCACATACCTTATGTCTGTAATAACAACAACATGTTCGCAGTCTCCCTGGTGACAGTATAAGTAAGGAAAGCCAAGTTTAATATTCAAGTCATTAAATGTGAAGTCTTCCATTCTAGCGGTTTGAAATTTTCCATATCCTCGATCATGGGATTCTGACCATTCTATAATAGTTCTGTTTTGGGGAAAAGATAAGGATAAAGCATTATTACTAAAACTTGAACAGGAAAGAAAAGAATATACCTGCAATGTTTCATACAATCTGGCCTCCTTATTAAATGGATCGTTGCCATCTAGAAGGGAAGATAATGGTGGCTTGTGAATTCTTGGATTAAAAGAACAGTGAATTTGGACCAGTAGGTAACAGCATTGGTCACCAAACCTGGGTTCAGTCCCCGGGATCCCCATTGGAAGGAGAAGATTAACTCCTATCAGTTTTCCTCTGCTTAAACTTGTGCCATGGCACAAGCATACACCTAAGCTCCAAGAGTGAGAAATGTTTAAGGGGAGTAGGGGTGTAGAGAGGGTTAGATACTGAACTTTATATCCGTCTGAGTAACAGCTCTTTTTTATTCTTGGGTTTTTGTTGCTTTGAGACAGAGTCTGGCTCTCCTGGAACTCACTATGTAGACCAGGATGGCTTTAAAATTAGAGTCACTTCTGCCCTTTTCATCTCAGTAAGGACCAGTTTTTTAGGATGCTGTTTTTAGGATATGTACCACTTGTAGAACAAACAAAAAATGTGTAACAATGCCACATTTTGTCCTCACTTTATTTTTGGCAACAGGGTTTTTGGTTGTTTTTACATATTTAGCATATACTGAGATTAGAATGTTACTATTTCTTAGTTTCAAGTTCTAATTAAGGTGCTAGCTGGTGGTGGCAGCAGTGCACGAATTTAACCCTACTTAGCATTTGGGAAGCAGAGGCAGATGGATCTCTTGAGTTCGAGGCCAGCCTGGTCTAACAGAGCGAGTTCCAGGACAGCCAGAGTTACATACAGAAACACTGTATAGTTAGGTGTGTTGGTTCGCATTTTTAAGGTCAGCACTTAGGGAAGCAGAGGCAAGAGGATCATTAGGTCCAGGCCATCCAGGACTTTCTCAAAAGAAAACAAAACACAAAGACTTTGAGAAGATTTTTGGAAGTAGTACCTGCTTAAGTCTCTACATTCTGGGTACCTTTTGTCATTGTAAAAGGTTCCTTCAAAATAAAAAAAGGCTGATTTGTATAGGTCCTGCAAGAAAACAGATGGTATTTAATGAAATCCAGTTGTAACAATTTAAGTATTCAAAATCTGTACACCATAAAATCACATGGATGCCCAGAAACTCATGTTTGGGGCCCCTCTCTGCTGCCATAAGCTGTCACTCCTCAATAAAACCCCACACAAGAGAGAGGCTCTTTTCAATTTTACCCTTTTGCTGTTTTAATCATAGTGAGACTCAAGAAAGGTAACTAAATTGATTCTAGTCAGCCTCACTGCTCACTTCCTAGGTGCAGCTGACACTCAATTATTTCTGTATCAGAACTAGAAACTCGACAGTCACAGCTTTGGTGGTAATAATGACAAAGATCTCTTAGTTGTTTTTCAGTTCTTTTATATATAAAACTTTCCTATTTTCAATAACTCTTAGAGCATGGATGTCTATTTCTGGGCATATAACCTCTACACAATCAGGTTATTATTTAGTGGACAAAAGCAGAAAGAATGTAGCAGCATGGCTGTAGATATCATTAAACAAGGCAGTATTTAGAGGGATAGTTAGTGGTTCTGAGCAATTGCTGTTCCAGAGAACCTGGGTTTCATCCCCAGCACCCACATATCAGCTCACAACCCACATGGGAGCATACAAGCATCCCTAACTCCAGGTTCTAGATCCAGTGCCTTCTGGCTCACTCAGGCATTGCATACATGTGGTACAGACATGTAGGCAAAACACCCATACAAATTTTAAAAAAATGTAATAAGACAAACTGTTTAGTTCCTGCTTAGAAAACTGAAGGGTTTGGCACCAAGGTGCAAATTCTACAAACTGACTAGTCCTGCTGACTAGGAATGACCGGCATAGCTGATTCAAACAGCTCTGACCAATGCGACAGATTGCTACAGAAGGTGAGTTTAGATTTTTCACATCAATTCTTTTTGCCCTCTTGTTTTCAAAGAAAAAAATATCTATGTAGCCCCAACTGTTCTGGAATTTGCTATGTAGACCAGGCTGGCCTTGAACTCACAGAGATCCACCTGCCTCTGCCTCCCGAGTGTACCACCATGCCCAACTCACATTAAATTAATTTAAACTTATACCTTCCTTTTCTGCTAGGGTTAAGAAAGCCTGCAAAAGACCAGTGCTTTCTTCCTTGAGAAAAAAATAAAACAAAACATATCCTTAAAATTCCATTTGTTTCTCTTTATCATGGCAGATATCTCCCCAAGCACTGACAGGAAAATTTAGAAGAGTTTATATATGTTAAAACCATCTTAGCCGGGCGGTGGTGGCGCACGCCTTTAATCCCAGCACTCGGGAGGCAGAGGCAGGCAGATCTCTCTCTGTGAGTTCGAGACCAGCCTGGTCTACAAGAGCTAGTTCCAGGACAGGCTCCAAAGCCACAGAGAAACCCTGTCTCGAAAAAAAAAAACCAAAAAAAAAAAAAAAAAACCATCTTCAACATAACCACAGACGTTCAGTGTAATAATCTCTGCCTGAGCTATGATGCTGATCTCCATGTCAGTCACTAGAGGATGGTGGTTTATAGGGCAAACATGGAAACTGCACCAGGATATACTATGCACTGTAACAGACAAAGAAAGCCTGGAATCGAGTTTGGAAACGTGACTGTGAACCCCCAGATGCACGGTAAAATGCTTCTGCCACACCGTGATACTCAAAACAGGAAATGGAACACACAGAAGACAGACACACAAATTCAGTATGTGAAGTCACATGGGGCTCAAAAATCAAAGAAATAAAATGTACATGGCTGGTGGAAAAAGACTGACTTTTGATCCTTCTCCAAGTTCTAGCTTCATCCTGCTTGTTTCAGATGTCATTTTATGTGCCTGCAGAGATGCTCTCTCCTCAGCAGGCAAGTCAACCCTGGCTTCTCTGCCAAGGCGGCACCAGTAACAGAATCTCTGTCTTGAGAATTCAGCCATATTAGGTCATTCTGTTTGTTTAGGTAAGCCCTCCCTCACTTCTGAAAATGTTTTTGGCAGCCCACCTGATACTTCGCTCCTCTCCAAGACGTACTCGGGGCATTTCTGTCTCATGAAGAGTGCCCTTATCAGGAAAGGCCGGCCAGCAAAGATCAACTTTCCACATCTCTTTGTCTGATATTTGCCTGTGTACTTATTGCTCCTACAAGCAGTGAAGGAGTGCAAATGACAGGCTCTTAGCGAACTCCAGACTCTTCCTTGAGGTACTTAAGGTGGGCTGAAAACCTTACAGCATTTTAAACAGGAAAGAATGAAAACAAAATCAAAGCAACAATAAGGCCAGGGCTGTAACTCAGTGGAGAATGCTTCGTTAGCACCAAATAAAAACAAATGAATAAGGAAGCCACGGTGAAGTCCGACTGTAAGGAAAAGGAAAAGAGAACAAGGGGCCAGACAGCTAGCTGGTCAGTATTAGCTCAGAAGTAAGAACATCCCAGACCAGCTGTAAATGGTGAGCACTGAGGAACACAAATACCGCCTCTTAAAAGGCTGGAGGGATGGCAAAAGAAGACATGGCAGAACCTCAGTCAGTCACAAGTACCATGAGTACAATCAACACTCATGACCCTGCTGCAGCAATTACTGTTTCTTTTGCTTACTGTTTTCTTCTTTTAAGGGGGAAGGGAAAGGTCACCTTACTTTGCTGATGTGCTCCGGGGCTTGGTCTGGAGTGCTACTGAATTCTCCACCAATCTGGAGGTCACTGACACAGCAAATTGAATCCCGCAGTTCAGTTAGCTTCTGACTGCCCAGTACCAACACTGTCTGGTATGGCTTGTGTTCTTTGTGCTGAAGTCAAACAGTAATTAAGTGTCCATTATAAAATCCAGATAACCACAAATCCCACCAAGACCTCATCTAAATCAAGTTACAACTTCCCCCCACTTGAAACAGGGTTTCTCTGTGTAGCCCTGGGTGTCCTTGAACTCAGAGAGTGACCTGCCTCTCCCTGAGTACTGGGATTAAAGGTATGTGCACATCAGGTGTGATTTTCCTTATTTAACCTACCCCGTTAGGCTGGACAAGGTTCGGTAGTCAGCACTTGCCTAGTATGCACAAGCTTCTGAGTTTGATTTATAGTACTGAAAACAAATCACATTCATAAGTTGGCATTCTGTATTTTCTTAGTTTCTGTATTTGTATATTTCATATCCATTAATTAGAAGACCAACGTACCAAAGTTGGCTTAGTGGTAAAGTATATATCTACCATGCACAAGGTGCTGGGTATAATTTTTGGTTTGTTTTTTTTAAGACAGGGTCTCTCTGTAGCTCTGGAGCCTGTCCTGGAGGCTGGCCTCGAACTCACAGGGATCCAACTGCCTCTGCCTCCCGAGTGCTGGGATTAAAGGCGTGTACCACCACTACCCAGGGAAATATTTCTTATTAAAACAAATACACCCTGTCAGTCCTAAAAAGTAAGATGTCAGACTGTGTATGCTAACATTTATTTTGAAACCTGAGTTAGAACTCAAATAATTAAATACCTTGTTAAAAGTTCCTTTTAGGGACTAGTGGTATCCCCATGGTAAAGTGCTTGCCTAGTATGCTTGCGGGCCTAGGTTCTACCCCTAATACTCAAACAAAACCAGGTTTCACTACTGACCTTATTAAATATAACAGGGTATAAGATGTTCACAGATAAGATGAGCTCCCCTTCTTCGATCATGTCTTCTGGATTTTTAGGTTTTTTCCCAAGTGCATGAGATTCCTGAAGAAAGAAAACAAGACCTTGATTGAAATCAGTCATTGTAACTCAGCTAAGAGACAATGCAATGCAGAACCCCTAGCGAGGGCTCCAGTCAGCCTTGGGTTTGATGGCCAATTCCAAGTGAGGAATGGTTTGTCTCTTTATGCTCAGCTTCACCTACTGTAATAACAGAATACTTTTTACAGACTGTTTTTTGGGAATGGGCACATAAAACATGTAAGAAGACATTTGGTGTTATATGCTTAACAACCAATGATAAACAGGAATGTTAGCCAATTGCTGTTCTGAAAGGCATTTCTCATCACTACTCCTTGTTTACAGCCTTTAATATACTTATAAAACCAGTTTTAAGAGAAAGCTTGAGGTTCAGCAATCTACTCAGGATTGCAAATATATATTATCTTTAATATACCATATTGTTTTATATGTGCTTAATAGTTATAAGGGGCCACTAAAGTACAACAGTTTTGTTTTAAAAATTAGTGAGGCCGGGCGATGGTGGCGCACGCCTTTAATCCCAGCACTTGGGAGGCAGAGGCAGGCGGATCTCTGTGAGTTCGGGACCAACCTGGTCTACAGAGCTAGTTCCAGGACAGGCTCCAAAGCCACAGAGAAACCCTGTCTTGAAAAACCAAAAAATAAATAAATAAATAAATAAAATAAAATAATCTTAAAAAAAAAATTAGTGAGAACAGCTGGGCGCTGGTGGCGCACGCCTTTAATCCCAGCACTCGGGAGGCAAAGACAGGTGGATCTCTGTAAGTTTGAGGCCAACCTGGTCTACAAGAGCTAGTTCCAGGACGGGCTCCAAAGCTACAGAGAAACCCTGTCTTGAAAAACCAAAAGAAAAAAAAACTAGTGTGAATCAGGGCTGAGGAGATGGCTTGGTCATTAAGATCAGTGAGTGCTCTGCCGAGGTCCCAGGTTTAGGCTCCAGCATCCCCACTGGTAGACAACACCTGTAACGGCAGTTCCAGGGGATCTGATGCCCTCTTTTGCCCTCTGTATGTGGTGTTACATTTGTACATGCAGGTATGCAAACATACACATAAACTAATAAATATTTGTGTTTTTAAGAAGTGGGAGTGATGTCATGCAGAGTAGAAAGTCCTCTCTACAGAAGGAGCCACTAGGCTGAGAAGATAAAATGGAATAAATTACTTTGGAAGTCTGGAAAGTGATTTCCATATGCAGGAGTGTTTGGAGAAGGGAGAAGCTGATTGTATTCTGCAAATAAGCAGTATATGCAAACCAATACTTCTCACTATTCCCTCCACCCCCTGCAGATGTGAGATAGCAGCTCCTAAACAACAGGAGGGCAGCGCCAGGGCAGACAAGCAGAGACCCTGTCCTTAAAATGTAGGGTTGTGTTTGGTGCGCTGGCCTTGACTGGCCTGTAGGCAGTACCCGGCAGAGCCACCTATTGGGATACTTACGTAACCATTCTTATAGGTTTTTTTTTTTTAAATTTTAATTTTTGAAGCCAGACATTTAGGTCACTGATAAACACAGAGGTAACTGAATAGAATTATCAATGACTATGCACATAGCAAAACAGTCTGGAAAGAACATAACAATAATGTATAGTTTTCAACCAAAACTCAGACATGGAACAGGAAAATATGGCTCATTTACAGGAAAGTAGGAATTTTATATTAACTGACCTCAAGGAAACTCAATCAATGAAATTACTAGTTAAAGAGTTAATTAGGAAGCCACGCCTTTAAACCCAACGCTCAAGAGGCAGAGGCAGGCAGATTCTGTACATTCTCTCTGACATCTCTCTGCCCAGCATGTTCTACAAAGTGACTTCCAGGACAGCCAGAGCTACACAGCATCTTGAAAAAAATTAAAGGTAATTAATGAGGTCTGGCAGATGGCTCAGCAGGTAAAGAGTCTGTTGCCAAGCCTGGCAACCTGAGTTCGTGATCTTAGCAACCCTTCCAGGGAAGAAGAGAACTGAGTCCTCTAAGTTGTCCTCTGACCACATAATGCTGTGGCAAGTGTATAGACATGGTGTGTGTACCTCCTGCCCAACAGTCTCACGCATCTCTCTGAATACAATGAAAAAAATGTTTTAATACGGCAATTAATTATTCCTACACACAAATTCTAGACTCACATATAAATAAAAGTCTATTGGTTAAAAGCAAATAAATAAGATGCTAAGCCAGCTGCCATAAATATGGTCAGTGAACCAACAGAAACCAAACTACAGGAAATCAGGTTCCTCAACTGTTTCAACAGCAGATTTCTCATCAGAAAAGACAAGAATCAAGTCAGATGACAAACTTCAAACCATGAAAGAAAACAGTCACCCAGAATTCTGTATCTACCAAAACTATTAGTGATGAAGGGAAGACGCAGACGCTGAGGTACACAGCAGCAGACCTTCAGACTGCAGTGAAAAGGCGGTGGCTTGGAGCCACACACGGTAACCACCGACAAGGTATTTTCATTAAAGGCAGAAAAGGAGGAAGGTGGGCATCAAACAGATATACAACAAAAATCAGTATCTAAAGTAAGGAAATAATGAAAGAACAGGGGAACAAAGGACAACCAAAGACCTGAATAACAGAAGCTCTTTCTTTCCCCGCTTAGAGACAGGGTTTCTCTATATAACAGCCTTGGCTGTTCTGGAACTCTGTGAGGCTGACCTCGAACTCACAGAGATCCACCTGCTTCTGCCTCCCAAGTGCTGGGATTAAAGGTGTGTGCCACCACTGCCCGGCTAGAAGCCCTTTTTTCGCCAGTAACCAGTGTAGCTGTAAATGGATGCTCCTATTGAAAGGGCAGGCTGACAGACTGGATTGCAAAAACTTTATTCAGCTGTATGTTGTTTACAGGAGACTCATTTTAGATACTATGATAGAAACATGTTGAAAGTAAAAGGGTAGAAGATAGTCTATGCAATCATAAAAAAAGAAAACTGTTGGAAGCATCAGGCTGTGGTGGCACATACCTTTAATCCCAGCACTCGAGAGGCAGAGACAGGTGGATCTCTGTGAGTTTGAGACCAGCCTGGTCTACAAGAGCTAGTTCCAGGACAGGCTCCAAAACCACAGAGAAACCCTGCCTCGAAAAACCAAAAAACTGTTGGAAGTTGTTTTACTGTCTCTGTTAATCTTAAACAAGGTTTAAGAGAGATTATGAGAAGGTATTATATGTTGATAAAAGGTGCTATATAGTACCGAGACACATAATTACAAAGAGCAAAAGGATCCTAAAATAAATGCGAAAAAAGCTGATAGAGTTTTAAAAAAAGAACCAAATGAAGCCGGGCGGTGGTAGCGCACGCCTTTAATCCCAGCACTCGGGAGGCAGAGGCAGGAGGATCTCTGTGAGTTCGAGACCAGCCTGGTCTACAAGAGCTAGTTCCAGGACAGGAACCAAAAGCTACAAAGAAACCCTGTCTCGAAAAACCAAAAAAGAAAAAAAAAAAAAGAACCAAATGATTCTGGACTTCGATATTTTTCTTACAATAATGAACTCAGACAAGAATTCATTAGGCAGGGGAAGAACGAACTGAACACGAAAAACAAAGACAAAAATTGCAGGACTCTTCAGCCAGCAGTAGCCTTCTCAGGTGCACATGAACCATTCTAGACTTAAAGAAACTAAAACCATACAAAGTAGTTCTGACCACAATTCAATAACCCTAGAAATCAATAATAAGGAAAACTGAAAATTCCAAATGCTTGACAATCTCAGAAATTCAATAGTACAGCCATGCACAGTGGTTTATGCCCGTTACCCCATCACTGTGGGGACAGGGATGACTGGGACAGGAAGGTTTTAAAGTCTGAAGCCAGCCTGGGCTATACAGGGAGACCCTTCTCAAAAACAAACCAATGGGCTGAAGAGGCAATTCAGAGGTTAAGAGTATGTACTGCTCTTGCAGAGGACCTGAGTTTGGGTTGCAGCATCCATGTAGGGCAGCTCAGAACTGCCCATGAATCTAGCTTCAGGGGATCCAAAGCCCTCTTCTGGCATCCATGGGCACTGCAGGCATGTTCATAAATTCCCACTCGGGCATACAAATATACACAATATTAAAATAAAACAAAACAAAACCCATTTATAAGCCAACCATAGGAAAAGGTACACAAGGGAAGACAGTGAAGGGCAGCATACTGGATACTCTTAAGAGAAGCTTGTACATGGAGGACAACCTTAAACATTTATCTTTTTTATCATATGTGACCAAATCAAGATGGTATTCTAGTGAGATATCCTATCCCTAGCACTGGGGATCTGAGCCTTGGCCTGACATTGCAGGCTAGCACTCAGCCTAGACCCAATCCACCCATCTCTATTCACTTCCTGACTGCTCACAAAAGGGACCACTTAGTGTTTCCTGCTTCCTAGAAAGAAATTAGAAAAGGAGTGGAAAGAGGGAGTAAAGAAGGAGGAGAGGGAGAGAGGGCATGTTTACACCACCAAATTAGCCACATAAACTCATCTTGTCACCCTTTTCTGAAGTTTGTTTCTAAAGTGCCTACATCATGTTTCATATTAGCCAGTGCTAGAGAAACCTTGACTAGCTTCTGTGTAACACTTATAATTTTATATTATTTTGAGTGCCAGTGGAGTAGCACACACCTTTGATCCCAGGACCAAAGGCAGAGGTGGGCAGATCTCTCAGTTCAAGACCAGCCCGCTCTACATAGTAAGTTCTAGGCTAGCCAGAGCTACACAGTTGAGACCCTGAGGTCTCAACAAAACAAAAGCAAACACAGACAAACAATTTAAAAATTATGCTTTTAGGGGGCAAGGGTGCTCTGTACCATACCCCTACCTGGCTGCAGTCTGTGGGCTGGTTTGTACTACTATGTATGAAAGAATGAAGCTGGCCTTTTTTACATCACATATTAAAACTAATTCAAAATGGAGCTGGAGAGATGGTTCAGCAGTTAAGAGCATTTCTTTTTTAAGAGAACCTGGGTTTGGTTTCCAGTATCCACATAGCGTTCACAACCATCTTTAACTATGGTTCCAAGGGATTTAGCACCCTCTCTGGCCTCCATGGGCACCAGACACACGGGTGCAGTACAGACCTACATGCAGGCATAATCCCCAAACATAAAATAGCTTTCTTTTTAATGTTAAAAAAATCAAAATGAATCAAAGTTTTAAAACCTGAGAACATCAGAAGAGTGAAAAAGATAATCTAGAGAATGAGAGAAGATATTTTTTAAATCATAAATAGGCTAAAGCCTAGCATTCAAAATACCCACTAACAAGATAATATACTCTAATTGGTAAAGAATTAGAATAGCCTAGGCTGGCCTTGAACTCATGATCCTCCTGTCTCCACCTCCTTCAGCAAATCCTACCGAAGAGCCTTTAATCCCAGCACTCAGAAGGCAGAGACAGACTCTGTGAGTTCAAAGTCAGCCTGCTCTACAGAGTGAGTTCAAGTACAGACTCCAAAGCTACAGAGAAATCCAGTCTCAAAAAACCAAAAAACAAACAAAAAAACAAGAGAAATTAGAATTTAGAATAGATGTTTTTCAAAGAAAATATACAAATGATCAGTAATTATATTAAAAAAATGCTTACCATCATTAGCCATTAGGAAAGGACAAATCAAAAATAAAATTATAAAATAAGATTGGTGTCTATCAAGGTGGTTATTCTAAGCAATGTATGAATTGAAAAGGATCTGAAGAAAGTAAGCTTCATGAATTACTAGTAGGTATGCACCTTTTTATGGGAGACAATAGAACTAATGCAGAATTATCACATGTCTATAAAATTTTAAGCAATCACTATAGTGCCTAGCAATTCCACCCCAGCTGTATCACGAAAAGAACTGAAAACAGAACTCAAACACTTACTTATACTTCAGTATTATTCACAATAACCGAAAGGTGGGAACAAGCTAAAAGCTAACAGCGCACTAACAGAATGTGGTGCATCCATGTAACAAAAGATTTCATTTGGCCAGAGAAAAAAATGAAGTTCTAACATATGCGACAACATGGAGGAAACTTTAAACTTTATGCTAAACAAACCACACAGAAAAGAAAAATATCATGTAATTCCATGTATGTGAATATATACATAGAATAGCAATTTCATACAGACCAGGGTTACCAATGAAAGGAGACTAAGTCATTTCTTACTGGGTACAGAAAATGTCTGGTCCTGGAAGTGATGATCAGCATCTTTGTGAATGCCCCCCTCCCCCACCCCACCCCACCCCAGATTTTCAAGACAGGGTTTCTCTTGCGGTTCTGGGACTTGCTCTGTAGACCAGGATGGCCTCGAACTTACAAAGATCCACCTGCCTCTGCCTCCCAAATGCTGGGATTAAAAGTGTAAACCACCACATCTGGCTAGTCTTTGTTACTTTTTGATTGTTTGTTTTTTGAGACAGGGTCTTACTGTGTGGTCTTGGTTAGCCTAGAACTTGCTACAGACACTAGGCTTGACCTCAAACTCAGTCACTTTCACTTTGTCTTAGAGTTTCACACAGGAAGCAATAGATTAAGTTTATAGCTTTAAAAGCTGAGTGTGCTGTAAGTGCCTTCAATACCGGCACTTAGGAGATAGAGGCAGGTTAATCTTTGAGAGTTCAAGGTTAGCCTCATCTACAGGAATCTGCTCCCATTCCAAAACAATATGGTTAAAGTAAAATTAGGAGCAGAACAAAAGGTTCCAGGAACAGAGTGGTAAACAGGCATAAATTTGGCCGGATCCTGGCACTAAGAACAAACTAAAGCAGAAGTCAATCAGAGAGGTGGAGTCAGAGTGTGGTCCTTTCGGCTCCATGGGGACACTCTCCAATTAGCTCTTGGTGACTAACAGTCAGTGACATTCTCAGCTTACTGTCTTAGAGCAGAGAAGGGTGGAAAGGTGAGACTTACCATTTCATAAGCAAATGTTTCTTGTCTACAGGCGCGATCTATTGTGATGTTCTCTTCTCGATAGTCCAAGAGCCCCTTCCTAACACTGACATGGACACATGAAAACAAAAAACAGTCAACACGCTTTCCTGAATATTTAAAATATCTTTTAAAAAAAGATTTTTATTTTATTTGTGTGTTTGCATGCATGTGTGTCTGTGCACATGTGTACCTGGTGCCCACAGAGGACAGAAGAGGACATCAGATTCCTTGGAACTGGAATTACAGATTTGTGAGCTCCTATGTAGGTACCAGGAATGGAACTCGGGTTTTCTGGAGGAGCAAGTGTTTCTAACCACTGAGCAATCTCTAGGCCTTTCTTTTTATTGTTTTAGCAGGGATAAGAATTAAACCCAGGGCTGGAGAGATGGCTCAGTGGTTAAGAGCATTGCCTGCTCTTCCAAAGGTCCTGAGTTCAATTCCCGGCAACCACATGGTGCTCACAACCATCTGTAATGAGGTCTGGTGTTGTCTTCTGACCTGCAGATATACACACAGACAGACTATTGTATATATAATAAATAAATAAATATTTAAAAAAAAAAGAATTAAACCCAAAGTTTCACATATACAATGCAAGCACTGTACTACTGAGTCACACTAACCAGCTCCAATCTTAATATTTTAGACTACTTTTAGACTTGAATTACAAAAATAGCACAAGACTATCTCCCTTATGTCTCTCCCCACAGCTTCCTCCTTCCAGTATCTTCTGGGATCACAAAATCACAAACAGAAATTAAGCTCAGCACAATGATTATTAGCTGCAGATGGTTTCCAGATTGCACGCAACCTTTAATTTAGGGCTGGCTTTTTCCTCCCCGTTCCAGACTCCTATCTAGGATCCTACATGATGTTTTTTCTTTCACCCTTTAAGCCTGTTCCTTTCTCAGTCTCTCATCTTCATGATTCTGACACTGCGGAAGAGTGCCAGTGAGTCAGTTTATACAATGCCCTTTAATTTAGGTGACTACAGTTTCCTTGAACTGGAGTAAACAGCATCTTGTCAAGAACATTGCAAGACTCTGATGGTGCTATTCTTGGGGCAGCCCAGTCCAAGAGTCCGGTACTAACATATAGTGTTACTAATGATGCTCGCGTCAATTCTGCCTGCTCAGTGCCCCACAGAACAGTCCTTATTTCCTGTGCAACAGGTAGAGATTTGGAGAGAGGTTTTTTGAGACCACACAATGCTGCTTCTTTATGCACTCATCTCACCGCCCCCAACATTATTTACTGTGGCACATACCTGATGATTTTCCCCCACTAGAATTCTATTGCAAACTAACATGGCTTTTCTTCACTCATTATTTTTTTCTTTTTCTTTTTTCTTTTCTTTTTTGATTTTTCGAGACAGGGTTTCTCCGTTGCTTTTGGTTCCTGTCCTGGAACTAGCTCTTGTAGACCAGGCTGGCCTCGAACTCACAGAGATCCACCTGCCTCTGCCTCGCGAGTGCTGGGATTAAAGGCGTGTGCCACCACCGCCCGGCTATTTTTTTCTTTTTAAGGTTTTTCAAGACAGGGTTTCTCTGTAGCTTTGGATCTTGTCCTAGAACTAGCTCTAGTAGACCAGGCTGGCCTTGCACTCACAGAGATCTGCCTGCTTCTGTCTCCCAAATGCTGGGATTAAAGGCGAGCACCACCACCGCCCAGCTTCTTTGCTCACTTCTGCTAGTACAAACTCTACTCACACTCATTTTATTCCACGGGTTAAAAATCTAATATTATTTTGTTGCTCAAATTGTCCTAGCTTTGGTTATGAGGCGCCCCAAACACTCAACAGGCTCTGATCTTTTATTATTTTTGGTAGGGGAGGGAGATGTGTTCCTTAGTTTCTGAAAACATGGACATTCAAAACCCATGCTCTACTTTTCCTATGCAAACCCTGGCATTAACTCTTCAGGAGTCCGAGTTCCTTTACTGGAGAGGAAATTTTTGTTTATTTTTAAACAAGGTTTCATGTAGCCCAGTCTGTTCTTGAACTCACTATCCAGCAAGGGATGACCCTGAGCTCTGATTCTCTTGCCTCCATCTTCCAGTCACTGGATTACAGATTACACCATCATGCCCAACTTGGGAGACAAATTAAGAAGCCAGTATCTAGATACTGTGTTTTGATTACTAGAGTTAGTGCTTCTACACCTTTTAGCTGAGACAGGCAAAATAATGTACGTCTGTTAACCCATGTATGGACAAGTAGCTATATTTCCTGTGCCTTCGTTATGTATTAAAAAAACCTAAGTTTACATATATACTTTTATGTGCATTTGGTACACACACACACACGTGTGTGTATATATATGTGTGTGTGTAAATGGAGGTCAAAGGTTGACATTGGATGTCTTTATCATGTTCCTTTATTTTATTTTAATTAATTTACTTATTTATTGTAACAGGATCTTACTATATAGCCCTGCTAGCCTGGAACTTGTACACCATGATGGCCTTGAACTTGGAGATCTATCTGCCTCTACTATCTCAGTGCTAGAATTAAAGGCATACATTACCATATCTGGGTTCCCCTTATTATTTTTTAATTATCATTATTTTATGTATATGGATGTTTTGCCTACATGTCAGTCTGAGTGTCTGGTGCTCTTGGAAGCCAAAAGAGAGCATCAAATTTCCTGGAAATGGAATTACAGATGTTTGTGAGCTACCATGTGGGTGCTGAACCCAGGTCTTCTAGAAAAACAGCCAGTATTCGTAACCCTTAAGTCACTTCTGTTGTCCTGTTCTCAGGCTCCCCATGCCTCTGCTTGACTGCAGCAGGATTAGATATGTACCACTACCTCTTCTACAGTAGGGGCTAGTGATGGGGGAGTGTCATATATCAATCTGTTGATTTCATTGGTTAAGTAATAAAGAAACTCCTTGGCTGGCCCTCATAGGTTAAAACATAGGTAGGCGGAGTAAACAGAACAGAATTCTGGGAGAAAGAAACTGAGTCAAGGAGTCACCATGATTCTCCCATTCCAGGCAGACACAGGTTAAGATCATTCCTGGTAAGCCCGCTCGTGGGCTACACAGATTATAAATGGGCTAGTCCAGGTGCGAGAGTTAGCCGAGAAGAGGCTAGATAGAAATGGGCCAAGCAGTGTTTAAAAGAATACAGTGTCCGTGTAATTATTTCGGGGCATAAGCCTAAGCTAGCCATGTGGGCAGCCGGGTGCTGGGGACGCAGCCCCGCAGCTCCTTATTACTACAGGCTAGGAATATGATTCAGTAGTCATGCAAGCACTATCCTGACTGAGCCAGCTCTCAAGTCTTCTACTTGGACACTCCAAACCCCCAAACCACAAGACTCATCATTGTGAGAAGGATGGCTCTGAGGACTGGCACCTATTATGGGTTCAAGTCCAGTAATCACATCCAGAAATCAATCAGGTTCCAAGCTGCTCCACTACAGTCTGTGTTAAGTACCAACAGGTGAGTAGTTCTTCCTTCAGCCGTACATCACCACCAGCATGCAGGCTCTGAGCCAGTTCTCTGTGTCCTCCTTAATGCTGTTATACATTTGCTAGTTTTTGTATCCTATTTTGGGCTTTTGTACTCATACGCAGGCATACATTTTCAAGTGTGTGTGTGTGTGTGCGCGCGCATGCATGTAAGCCAAAGGACAGTCGTTGGTGTTGTTCTTCAGTAGCTATTTACTCTTTAAGTTTTATTTACTTATTTATTTTGGTTTTTCAAGATAGGGTTTCTCTATGTAACAGCCCTGGTACTGGTTGTCCTGGAACTCCTTCAGTAGACCAGGCTGACCTCAAACTCAGAGATCCGCCTGACTCTGCCTCTTGAGTGCTGGGATTAAAGACTGTGCCACCACTGCCCGGCTTAATTTACTTTTTTTTGGTGGGGTCTCACTAGACCAGGGTAACCTTCCATTCACAGTCTGTCTGCTAGCCTCCTAAGTGTAGGGTTACAGATGTGAGCTACCACATCCTGTCTGCAAAATATTTGTAGTATCTTAAATACATATATATAGGAGAGTATTTAACACACGGTGGGAAATCCACATGGTAGAATAAATAATGAAGCTATAATGAAGATTGAAATCAGTAACTTCCAATACATAGTAATGAATGAAGACAGCAAAGCCACACAGCATATGGTAACCCTGGAAGAAAGGTTAGCTGGGTCCAGCCCATTGGTTCTTACCTACAGACAGACATGTTTCTACCTGTTCTGTAAGAACAAACCTTCACGTTTTGAATATTTTTCGTTTGCCAGCTGGCACTCATTAACTCTGTAAATAAAGGACAGTGGAGAAACCCTGTATGTATGTAGCCCATGAGAGACGTGCCAGCTCAGCAGTCCTGAAGTGTACACAGCCTCCACCATGCCAATGCTCAGCTCCCGCAGGGCACTGCAGTCCACAGCACCGAGGCCCGGAGGTCTTCCTTGCCGCCTCCCTGAAGAGCTTTCCCTGGCACACTCAGGGTAGCGCTCCACCACAGTAAATCACTGCCCCCCAGGAAACACAGGCAGGCCCTCTCTCAAGGGTCCTACTCTTGGGGAAGAAAGGCCCTCCTCCGACATCTCTCAGCCCGAAGTATAGGACATTCCTAACATCCGCTCTGCCATATACTCATATTTCCGTTATTGTTTCTCTCAAGGTGCCATTTCTCCAATCTTTCTTAACATTTTTTTGCTTGTTTTGTATTTTAAACTGAAGGGTTTTCTGTATAGTCCAGCTGGTTTCGAAGTTGGAGTAATCTTCCTGCCTCCTGCGCCTAAGTGCTGATATTACAGGCATATACTACTACGCCCAGCTTTGAAGCTAACAGTTCTTTAGATTAAGCTTTCTCCATTAAAGTGGCTGTTCTGCTTCTCCTCCTAATTGAACTCAGATTGCTAAAGGAGATAAATGTAAACCAACACTGTATAGAGAGGTTGGCTGTCTGCAAGGGGCCAGTGGTAGGAAGTGAGGGAATGGGAAAGCTTAGCGAGACCTAAAATGTGTGGCATTCTTTTTTTTTAAAATATTTATTATGTATACAATATTCTGTCTGTGTGTATGTCTGCAAGCCAGAAGAGGGCACCAGACCTCATTACAGATGGTTGTGAGTAGCTGGGCGATGGTGGCGCACGCCTTTAATCCCAGCACTCGGGAGGCAGAGGCAGGCGGATCTCTGTGAGACCAGCCTGGTCTACAAGAGCTAGTTCCAGGACAGGCTCCAAAGCCACAGAGAAACCCTGTCTTGAAAAACCAAAAAAAAAAAAAAAACAAAAAACAGATGGTTGTGAGCCACCATGTGGGTGCTGGGAATTGAACTCAGGACCTTTGGAAGAGCAGGCAATACTCTTAACCATTGAGCGACCTCTCCAGCCCCAATGTGTGGCATTCTTGACTCTGTATAGTTGTGGTTACATTTCTCCTTGCCGTTGTTATGCCCTAGGGTAGTCAGGGCAAATCAGTGTTTCAGTTTTGTTTTGACTTTGGAACAGGAGGCCAAAGCCAGTGCCTTATGTATACTCTGCAAGTGTTTGCTACCAAGTGCATCTTATTCTGGGATCTTTTGAGACAGGGTCTAATTTATAGTCTAAGCTTGCCTGGGACTTGGACTTCAGCATTTCAACCAGGACTAGAAGAGGTTGTAACTGTGGTCCACATACCCACATCACCTTTCTTAAAAATTTAAATGTAAACTATTGGCTCAAATCTCTTCCCCTCATTTTCCCATGCAGTATTTTTGTCCTATACATGGCTCTTTGTAGTAAATACTTTTCTCCAAAGTCACAGGCTGTCTTTTCGTATTTACAGTGCTTCTGCCATAAAAGCATTCTATCAGTTTCTTCTCACTGTCTGTGATGAGTCCCAGGTTTATTGCACTTATATCTATCTTAAATTGACCTATCAACAGTCACTTCCTACAGTAAGTTCTCTTTGGAATCTCATTTCCTCCTAAATGTGTTTCTGTGATATTTGGGATCGGTTTAGAAGAGTCCCAATTTAATGGTGCTTTTCTGCCATTCTAGCAGTCTAGTTTGATTTTTGTTTTTACATTTATTTGTTTAGTGTGTGTGCAAGCAAGTGTGCTCTTGCTATGGTAGATGTACGGAGGTCACAGGAGGATTTATGAGGAGTAGGTTCTCTTTTTTTTTCTTTTTTTTTTTAAATTTATTTATTATATATACAATGTTCTGTCTGGATGTATGCCTGCCCGCCAGAAGCGGGCACCAGATCTCACAGATGGTTGTGAGCCACCATGTGGTTGCTGGGAATTGAACTCAGGACCTCTGGAACAACAGCCAGTGCATTTAACCTCTGAGCCATCTCTCCAGCCCAGAGTAGGTTCTCTTACTTCCACAATATGGATTCCAGGAACTGAACTAAACTTGTCAGGTTTGATGGGAAATGCCACTAATGGTGGCTCAAAATCTACTTTTAAAATATCGTTTCTGGTTTGGGTCTTAGGATGACAGTTACAGACCTTCCAATTTTGTGGTTCTCTTTTTATTGTAGAACTTCTACAGTTTCTTTTAATCCTTTAAATGGCACAAGATGGCTGGAGCAGTAAAGAGTGCTTTCTTGGCCACACCAGCGAGGGGGATGGGTAGATACAGCAGTTAAAATTGTTCTGTGTGAAATGCAATAAAGGTGTTAAAGGCTTTGGGAAATAGATTTTACCATTAGCATATGTAGTATTAACAATTCCCTCTCTGAGTTCATGAAGTAAAACCCTTTGTTTTGCTGGGTGGTGGTGGTGCACACCTTTAATCCCAGCACTTTAGAGGCAGAGACAGGTGGATCTCTGTGAGTTTGAGCCCAGCCTGGTCTACAAGAGCTAGTACCGGGATAGGCACCAAAGCTACAGAGAAACCTTTGTTTTGAAAAACCAAAAATAAATACATAAATAAATAAAAATAAAACCCTTTAAGTTGTTAAAAAGTTGAATACTGGGAGGTGGAGAAATGGCTCAGCAGTTAAAAGCACTGGCTGCTCTTCCAGAGGACCCAGATTCAATTCCCAGCACCCACATAGCAGCTCACAACTGTCTGTACCTCTAGTTCCAGGGGATTTGGCACCCTCACACAGGCAAGACACTGCATAAGAATGAATACATCTTTTTTTTATCTTTTTTTTTTTTTTTTTTTTTTTTTGGTTTTTCGAGACAGGGTTTCTCTGTGGCTTTGGAGCCTGTTCTGGAACTAGCTCTTGTAGACCAGGCTGGTCTCGAACTCACAGAGATCCTCCTGCCTCTGCCTCCCTAGTGCTGGGATTAAAGGCGTGCGCCACCATCGCCCGGTTATGAATACATCTTTTAAAAAAGGAAAAAAAAAAACCCTTACATATTAAAGTCAAGTTATTTAGCTTGTTATGATAAGGAGGATGGCACAGAGCAAGAATCCATTTCTGACATGTGTCCTCTTTCCCTTTCCAATACCTAAGTGTGCCAAGAAGCTTCTTCATCAGAAAGGGATACAGGCCGGGTGGTGTGGCACACACCTTTAGTCCTAAGACTTGAAAGGCAGAGGCAGGAGGATCTCTGTGAGTTCAATGCCGGCCTAGTCTACAGAACAAGTTCTAGGACAGGCTCTAAAGCTACACAGAGAAACCCTGCCTCAAAAAAACTAAAGAAAAAAAGAAGGAGGCAGAGGAGGAAGAAAGGGAAATAGAATGGCATAAAATTATAATTAAGGAATTTTAGATTTCTGTTCTTAAAATAGCCTGGAACAAGGCTGACCTTGACTTTCTGGCAATCCTCATTCCTCTGTCTCTCAAATATTGGGACTACAAATGTGAGCTGCCACTCTTGCTAGATTTTTGTTTTTATTTTTATGTTATTGACAGAAGAAAGTTTTAGGAAAAGATAAGCATAGAGATAGATTTAGGCTGTTTTGAAAAGTCAAACATTTTACAAGATTATTAAGATTAATTAGTGAGCCTGTCGGTGGCGTCCACACCTTTGACCTGTTACAGAGAAACCATCTTGAAAACCAAAACCAACCAAACAAATGAACAACTGGTGCTTGTTTCTTTCTTTCTTTCTTTTTTTTGAGACATCATATATCCATGGATGGCCTGGAACTCACTATCTAGACCAGGCTGGCCTCAAACTCACAGGGATTTGCCTGCCTCCCTCTGCCTCCCTGGGATTAAAGGTGTATGTCATCTTTCCTACAACTGGCTCTTTACCATGGGTATTTCAAGAAACACTACCTGAGTTATTTAGCTTGCATTCCGAAATCTAAATAGATTAAGTCTATATTAAATATAAGTACAAATTTGAATATGTATTGTATATCAGAGGTTTTGTGTTTATAAGGTTTTATTTTAGATGTAAAAATATCACTCTTGCCAGGCAGTCAGTGGTGGCGCATGCCTTTAATCCCAGCACTCAGGAGGCAGAGAGACAGGAGGATCTCCAAGTTTGAGGCCAGCCTGGGCTACAGAGTGAGTTCCAGGACAGGTTCCAAAGCTACACAGAGACACGCTGTCTTGAAAAACCACGAAAAGAAAATCACCCTGATTATGCAAAATGGTACTTTTGGAGCTACAAACTGAGGTACCAGTGGGAAAACTGTGCTCCAGACTCAAAAGGTTAAAGCAAGGGAGTCCAAATGTTTAAAAAACAACAAAAATCAGTTGTTGAACTCACTATGTAACCGAGGCTAGCCTCTAATTTGCATTAATTTTCCTGACTCAGCTTCCTAAGTGATGGAATTGCAGTCATGAGCCAGGACACCAAACTCAGTGGTTGAATTTAAGTGGTGGGAATGTGGAGAATACTACACTTTCCAAAGAAAGACATTCCAGAAATGTTCAGATAAATAGCAGAAAGCCTAACAGGGTAGTTTAGTGATAGGTCGTGCTTCGCCCCAGCATTAAAACAAATAGCGTATGACAAAACAAAATCATACCATAAAGTCACCAGATCAGTGTTCTCGGGGATGACTTCCGGGTCTTCATCTTCTTTGAGGCATCTCAGTTTATCAAGGCTTAGAAAGAGGGAGGGGTCAGGAGAAGGAGAAAGGAAAAGCAACATTTTATGATCAGCCGTGCATTTTTCAACAGCGGGTCGGAGCTTGTCCTAAATACATCACTAAATAATTAAGAAGTCTTATGAAATCCAGCAGGCGGCTCAAAGGAGGCCAGAATTCAAGACAATGGTTTCTGTGCCAATGTTATACTGAAAGGATGGATTTGAGGGCAGTTAGTACTGTCAAATGGAGAACCATTACAAAGAAGTTTTATATTTCTACCCTCAGGTAGTTTTTGGAGAAATTTAAGTAATAACATATTAACGAGTACCACTAGAGACTACGGTTAATTCGGGCTTCAGCGCTGCTCTAATTAAGTCTTCCCCAGCCTCACGTACTTCCATTGTCCAAATGTCAATGATATATACCGCTGGTAGTCCAACAAGCGTTTTCAAGATAAAAGAATAGCAAAGTCTTTTATGCAATTGTCGTGTCCCGTTACTGAATCTATCCTCATAAACTGTACTTTTGGACCCCAGCACCTCTTCTCCTTCCGGAAAGGGTTTGGGGGTGGGGGTAGGGGGAGAGAATGAAGGTTAAACCACTGTCCCTCGCCCGGAAGAGTCCCCGGGGAGAGCAGGGACCAGGCTGCACCCTGCCGTACCCACGCTGAGCGCCGAGGCCGCGCACTCACCCGCACACGACCCTTAGCTCTGCCGCCGCCTCCAGACTGCAGCCCAGATCCCGGGCTACCGCAGTATCCTCCAAGCTGTTGTCCGACGCCCCTCGGTCCTCAGGCTGCCCGGCTGCCTCCGGCTCGCTCAGCGACAAATCCCGGGCCCCGAGCCGGCCGCGCCACAGCTCCCCAAAAGCGCCCACGTGGAACGCCCGAGTGTGCAGCTCCGGAAGCTCGTACTCTGGGAAGCTGCCGTGGCTCGCACTAGGGACTGGGTGCTGCGAACAACCCGCACCGCCGCCCTGCGGGTTCTCCGCCATGTCAACCGCGATCCCTTCCGGCAAATCTGACGCGTGAGTGTCGCGGGGCGTGACGGGATTTGTAGTTGCGCGCGGCTCCCGGGCGGCGGACAGTTGCGCAAGTCAGGCCTCAGAAACTACATTTCCCGGCAGGGCGCGGCCACCGCCTGGGCGCGGCTCGGTCGCTGGGGGCAGGGCTGGGTGTATTGTTCTCTGGGTTTGTCCAAGGGCGGCGGCTTTCGGTGTGTGCCTGGCGAAGCTGAGGGATTGCTGAGACCAACAGTTACCTAAAGACTGTCACTTTCCTCAGCCCTAGGTTGTGGGGGCACTTTTGTCCACTGGTGTTGGGAGTTATGCTGCTACCCCCCTGTCCTAGAGCGAGAGAGTCCTGGAGGGCAAGGACCAGGGGCACTGAGACCGGTTCGATCAGAACCTTTCGAAAGGCCCCGTGTGCATTTGTATGTGTGCCTTGCTGTATACATACAGAATAACGCGCTCATGGAACGCGGCTCTGCATCGCACACAGTTCATTTTTAGCTATGGTGTTATTTTAAAAAACTTGCCACTTTTCCAGGGAGAGAGAGGGTCGTATGTGACTGTTAAAGGGATTAACCAATAAACTAGCAAATGGAAGTAGCTTGAAACTCAGTGGGTTTAGATACACAAGAAGCTGTTGCCATCTCTCAGGTGTTCCAAAGATCAAAACAGGGTGTGCACTACAAGCCCTGGCTTGTATGGTTGTCATGTGAGACATACTGTATAATTCACCCATTTAAGCTATTCTTTCCGTGACTGTGAGGATATTCAGTTGAGCAACCATTAGTTTGAGCGTTTTACCACTCACAAGAAGAAAGTTAGTTGTATTTAACTGTGATTCCCAATCCTTCCCATTTCAGCCAACAACTTAGAGACTGTGCATCTGTAAAGTTTTGGTATCGGGGCTTTTGAAAACAGGATCTCACTATGTAAACCAGGATATCCTTGAATTTACAGGGATCCACCTGCCTCTGCCTTCAGAATCCTGGAATTAAAGGTGTTTACCACCACACCCAGCTTATTTTCTGTATTTAATATAATTATATATGATCATTTGTGACTGGTTTCTGTAATATTGCACAATAGTGGCACTTTATAGCAAGTTTCGTTACTTTATTCCTTTTTTGGTTGAATTAAATTGCAGTGCATAGATATTACAGGTTTTATGTATTGGAACTGTCATTGGATGGGCTGGGATGTAGCTCAACTGAATAGAATATTTAGCTCACATGCATGAAGCCGTGGGCTCAGTCCTTGACACCACATAAACCCAGTGTGATGGCACACATCCATAAGCTCAGCACTTGCAGGGTTGAGGCAGGAGGATCAGAAGTTCAAGATCACCTATAGGGAATTGGAAACAAGCCTGGTATACATGAAACCCTGTCCCCAAAGCAACAAGGAGGTATGGAAAGGTGGCTAAGGAGCTCTGGGTGCTCTTCAAGAGGACGATGATTCAGGTCCCAGCACCCACAAGGTAGCTCTCAACTGTCTGTAACTATAGTTACTGGGTATCTGATGCCCTCTTCTGGCCTCCTTGGGCACCAGGCATGCAAGTAGTGCACAGATAATACATACAGGCATAACATCCAGACACATTAAAAAGAAAAGGAAATGCCAAGTAAAAGTAATAGAAAACAAGTTCAATTAAAACAAGGGGGTAGGGCTGGAGAGATGGCTCAGCGGTTAAGAGCATTGCCTGCTCTTCCAAAGGTCCTGAGTTCAATTCCCAGCAACCACATGGTGGCTCACAACCATCTGTAATGAGGTCTGGTGCCCTCTTCTGGCCTGCAGGCATACACACAGAACATTGTATACATAATAAATAAATAAATATTTAAAAAAAATAAAAAAAAAATAAAACAAGGGGGTAGAGAGATGGTTCAGCATTTAGAATACTTGCTACTCTTTCAGAAGACCCTGGTTCAGTTCCTCGCACCCATGTTGAGCTCACAATCCCTTGTAATTCCAGTTCCAGAAGATTCTGATGCTAATGTCCGTTTTTGGCTTTTGAAGGCACCAGGCACACACACACAGTTAAGGAAAAATACTCATACACATAAATCTCAAAACAAAGCAAGAAACAAGAAAGAAATGTCATTGGGAGATTTTTTTTCTATATTTTTCAAAGTTCTGAAGGAGATGTATGCAAGATTTCACACAAACACACTGTCACTTCTGGCTCTATAGTTAGGAGTGTATTTATGATAATTATAATGTAGGATTATCATGAGGAGGACCCTACTTTCCTGTAGTCTTGAACCCCAAAAGCAGTTTCAGTGTTATCAGGGAAATTGGAATCCCTTCTTTGGTTGCGTAGTCCCATTAACAAAAGAATTCTTTTTAAAAAAGGAAGGCTTGGTAGCACACGCCTTTAATCCCAGCCCTTGGCAGACAGAGGCAGGTGGATCTCTATGAGTTTCAGGCTAGCCTGGTCTACATAGTGGGATCCTGTCTGAAATAAAATAAATAAATATTAAAATGGACCCAGAAGGAAGCTTGAGGATGGTTTTGTTAGAGTTTAATAAAGAAAACAACAACAACAGAGCAGGCAAACTGTATGTCTCAGCAGCTTCCAGAAGAATAAAGTGGAAAAGAGAGACAAAGCTGCGCCTTTTGACTTAGACGTGGAGGTTGGACAAAGAGCAATATGGCAGAAGCTGGGGCATGGACTGCTTCAGGAAAGAAAGACAAATGCCTAGAGCATCAGGGGAAATTGTTTGGTTGGAAGTATCACTCCAGCCCCCTGGCATCCATTCTAAAATGTTTGAGTGGAACTTTCCATTCCAGGCCTCCTCTTCTTGGAGTTGCTACAGCCCAGACTCCACCTCTGAAAAACCCACCAAAGAGTGACCCTTCCCCAGGGAAGGTCAAGACCATTCCTACAGACTATTTAAACTGCCCCCATAGAGAATGAACACGTGGTCTGCCCTGTTCCTCTTTCCCCTGTCTGTGTTCTCCTGAAAGGCCACCTGGGAGTGCTGGCATCCATTAAACCTGGGCTTTTTCTAATTCGTTTTAATTTGGTCTGATTTGGATTATTGCATCAGCAGAGAGGCTTATTGGGCTACAATCTTGAAGAATCCAGAGCAGGGAGAGAAAGTAGTAGACTAAACATGACCAGTAGACTGCTTGATCCATGAGGAGGGAGGGAGAGAGAGAGAGAGAGAGAGAGAGAGAGAGAGAGAGAGAGAGAGAGAGAGAGAGGATGCTGGCTATTTTTATATCAAGTTAACAAAAGCTAGAGTCATCAGAAGATAGAACCTCAATAGGGAATGTTATGGTAAAAATGAAACACTGCAGAGGTCTCCGAGTGCCTGCAGCAGGCAGCAGACCACTGGGGCTGCGGTGGTAAAACACTGTGGTTCCCCAAGTGACCCGTGGGCCACGAGGGGCAGCAGGTTCCAGGTAGGGAGCTGTGAGGCAGGTGAGAGACAGAGGTGTGCCATGCAGAGAAAGTGGGTATTTATTTAGTGGGTTATGGAAGGGAAAGGGGGGGAGGGGAGAAGGGAGAAGAGCAGAAAGAGGCAAAGAGAGAAAGAGAAACACAGAGGGGAGAGAGAAGAAGTGGGGAGAAGGGAGAGAGGCAGAAGCTGCCTCTTTGGGAGAGAGATGGAAAGGAAGAAACTCAGGCTGGAAGCAGAAGGAAGATCTGCTTGCCTCAGTGGGGGTGAGGGGAGGGAGTGGGAGGGGCTTGTCTCTTAAAGGGACAGGACAGACCATTACAGGGAAAATGCTTCCATAAGATCTGGCGGTAGGAAAGTCTGCAGGAAATTTTCTTAATTGGGGAGGGGAGCAAGTCAGTAAGCAGCAACCCTCCATGACTTCTGTATCAGCTTTTGCCTCCAGGTTCCTGCTCTGTTTGAATACCCGCCCTGACTTCTTTTAGTGATGACCTGTGATATGGCAGAGTAGCCAAATAAACCTTTTACTCTCCAAGTTGCCTTGATCATGCTGTTGCATCGCAGCAAAAGCAATACTAAGACAGACGGGGATGCAATGGTCTGTTCTGTCCCTTTAAGAGACAAGCCCTGCCCACTCCCTCCTCCTCCACTGCCGAGGCAGGCAGATCTTCTGTCTGCTTCCAGTCTGAGCTCCCTTCCTTTCCATCCTTCTCCCAAAGAGATAGCTGCTGCCATGGCTCCTCTCCTCTCCCCGCTCTGTTTCTTTCCTTGTCCCCCTTGTCCCTCCCTCTCCCCTTCCCTTCCATAACCCACTAAATAAATATCCAATCTCACTCTGTATGGCATGCCTATCAGTCTCAGTCTCTCACCCACTGCATGGTTCCTTGCCTGGGACAGCTGTCTTCATGGCCCACCATGGTTGTAGGACCCACTGTCTGCTGCAGCCACTTGGGGAACAGTGCCATAACGTTGGTGCTTGTGACTCGGCCAGGCTCTTCATGTTCCCTCCTGCCTGTGAGCAGGACTGCTGAGGACACATGGAACCCTGTACTCAGGAACCAGGTTTCTTTACAACAGCTCTGCATTCTATCTGCCTGAATGCCAACCTCTATGCACACCAGTAGCTTCTGAGTCACCCAGACCAGAGCCAGTCAGGCTTTAACACCCCACCTATGTAGAGAGAACACTCTTCTATAGGCCCTGTGGTGTTTTTTGTGGGTTTTCATGTTTTCAGCTATGGTATAAACCCTCAAACTATGCTCAGCCGGTGTCCCGCCAGCTCTGCTTTTCCTCAAACTGTCCCTGCCACTGCTACCAACAAAATTGGTTGGATCCACGAGGCAGCGGTTTTCAATGCCAGCCTTTGCTCCCCGCCATGGCTTGTGGCATGGCAGCTCGGCAACAGGGAGGGTCACACCTCTAGGTCTCTCTTCCATACAACATGTGACTGCTGCCATTTTGACTGAGGTCAGGTGACCTTACTGCTATATTAAACTGAGGTCAGGTGACTTCACCACCATCTTACCTGAGACCCAGGTAGGGGACCAAGTTCCGCCATCTTTACTGAGGTATTCTCCCTGCCTGGTTTCCCAGTGCTGAC